GTGGCTTTGAATAAGCCACTATCTCGTGGTCTATAAGGTTTCCACTGAGAAGTCTGCTGCCAGACTATATTGAGTTCCTTTATATGTTATTTTTTTCTTTTTTCTTGCTTTCCTTAGGATCTTTATCTGTGTCCTTTGGGAGCTTGATTATTAAATACCTTGAGGTAGTCTTGTTTGGGTTAAATCTGCTTGGTGTTCTATGACTTTCTTGTACTTAAAAATTGATATCTTCCTCTAGGTTTGGAAAGTTTTCTGTTATTATTTCTTTTCTACCCCAATCTCTCTCTCTGTTTCCTCTTTTAGGCCAATAACTCTTAGACATGCTCTTTTGAATTTATTGTCTAGATCTTGTAGGAATGCTTTATTCTTTTTTATCTTTTTTCTTTTTTTTTCTTCTGACTGTACATTTTCAAATAGCCTGTCTTCAAGCTCAATAATTCTTTCTTCTGCTTGATCAAATCCACTGCTGAGAGACTGTGATGCATTTTTCAATTTGTTGACTGAATTGTTCATCTCCAGAATGTCTGCTTGATTTTTTTTATTATTATTTCAATCTCTTTGTTAAATTTCTCTAATAGACTTCTGAATTCCTTTTCTGTATTGTCTTGAAGTTCACTGAGCTTTTTCAGAACAAGTATTTTGAATTTCTTATCTGAAAGATCACATATCTCCATCACTCCAAGATTGGTCACTGGGACCTTAATTAGTTCATTTGATAAGACTCTGTTTTCCTGGATGTTCTTGATGCTTGTGGATATTCATCAATGCCTGGGAATTGAAGAGTTAGGTATTTATTTTAATCTTCACAGTCTGGGCTTGTTTGGACCCATCCTTCTTGAGAAGGGTTTCCAGATATTCAAAGGGAATTGAGGGTTGTGATGTATGTCTTTGGTTACTGCAACCATACCAGCACTAGGGTGCCCCAAGTCCAGTAATACTGTGAATCTTGCAGACTCCTGGTTTTACCACCTTGGTGGACTTGGATGAGATATGGGAGAATTTCCTGAATTACCAGGCAAGGTCTCTCACTTTCTTCCCTTACTCTCTGGGGTAGGCTGCTAGAGCTGAGGGAGGAATGATGTGGCCACTCCCTTATGGCCACCACAGCTGGAACTGTGTCAGGTCACACCTGAAACCAGCCAATATCACCCAAAACCTGTAGTGACTGCTTTCTGGCTACCTCTGATGTTTATTCAAAGCCCAAGGTCTCTTTAGTTATTCGTGGTGCATCTGGCTAGGACTGGGTTCCTTCAGGGCAGCATGTATCCTTCTGGCCCAGGATGGGTCTAGAAATGTCATCCAGGAACTAAGGCCTGGACTCAGAGGCTTGGTACATTATTTTACTCTGCCTGAGCTGCTACTCAAGTTGCAAAACAGAGTCCTCTGGACTCTTCCCTTTCCTTTCTCCAAGTGGAAAAAGACTCTCCCTCAGCTGTACTGTCTGGAGTTGGGGGAGGGGTGACCCAGGGAGTGGCTTGGCCACTGCTACTGGTGTCTCACTAGATCACATGTACCCCAAGTCCACTGACTCTGAGCCAGCACAGCCATAGGAATTGCCCATGGACTGTAGTCTTTGTGGCCTGTGCTTCCTTATGAATTTATTCCAGCCCTCAGGCCACATTTTGTCAGCTGGTGGTAAGGCTAGCTGGAACTCCTGTTTGGGGTAGAGGATTTCCCTCTGGCTGAGCTGGTCTAAATGCTCCCTCAATGGGCACCTGTGCAATTCTGTCCTGTGCTATGCAAAGTCCCACAATCACTTCACTCTCCCATCCCTCAGGCACACAAGTTTTCTTTGCATTCAGCATACTTGCATGACACTGCAGGAAACAGGGAAGGGTGGCTTAGACAATGCAAGAGTGTCTTTTCTGCCCTCTTCAGTGCCTCTTTCCTTGATATAATGTTAAAACCAGGTATTGTGATTGCTCACCTGATTTTTGGTTCTTCTGAAGTTGCTTCCTTACATGAATAGTTGTTGAATTTGGTGTTCGTGTGGAAGGATGATCCCTAGAGCTTTTCTATTCAGCCATCTTGCTCCCTCCTTCTTTCTGAAATAATATCTTTTAGAATACATATTTTTTAGCTTAAATATATTTTTATTTTCAACTTTTGGACCTTTTTCTTTTGTATCAACTCTCACTGAAAATTCCAAATTTTGCTTTAGTTCGAAATGTTTATTTTGGACTCAGTAATTTATATCACATACTCTTCCCAAACCAATTTTTTTCAGAGTTAAATTGCTTCCTTTAGCTCAAGAAAAAGAGCACTTTAGTACATAGATATTTTAAGATTCAAAATAGTTTTATTGTTTTTGAAATGTGAAATATCATTTGCAAATGAAAGGCAGGGTAACCATGACCACTAACAGTTTTACTCTAATTAACTATTAATTGTATTTGCTCTATTTTACTATATTGAAGAATTACAGCTATTTTATAATTATTCTATGCCTCATTTTCATTCAAATCTTAAATCTTGAAAGAGCCATTACCATGGCATCTTAATTTCTTTGCCAATTTGTAGACATTATGACTCATATCTTTAGATTCTACTGACACTATTTACCTATCTGAAGCTTCCAACCCAGTGAACTACCACTCACAGTTGAAACCAAGCACTCCCCTCATTTTTCATTTAATTATTATTTAATTATTTCATGTAATTATTATGCATGTTTCTAAAAATATTTACTCAGCATATACTATGTATAAGACACTGTGCTGATCACTTTTATATATAAAAAGAAGAAACAGGTTGATACTAAGGTAAATCAGATGTGATGCCATCCTTCAAAAACCTCATCATGTAGAAAATTAAGAAATAAATTATTATATAGGTGTGCCTCTGTGTCTGGTATATAAATATTAATAACAGCTAGCAGTTATCAAGTTTAATAAATGCCAAACACAATTCTACATTTTCATGAGTACCTTATTTCATCAAATTCAAGGCCATTGATCATAAGACACATTATTATTGTAGTACCATTAAGAAAGAAAAAGACACTTCTTAAAAATTATTACTTACTCTTGACTGAAAGATGCATTCCAAATATCAAAGATGTTAATATATGAAAAAATGTGGAACTTAGAATTGATGAATATATTAACTCATATAATTCTCTCAGCAACTCTTCAAGTTAGGTAATTTGTTCTCAACAGTAATTTTCAGGCACGGAAACTGATGGGTTCAGAAATGTTAGGTAACTTGCCCAAGATTGCACAGCTAATAAATAAATGAGTGAAGATTGATCACACATCAACCAGATTCCCTGTGCATTGCTCTTAATCTCTATACCAGAGATCTTGGATTCTCTCTCTTATAGGCTGTTCAGGAGTTTCTATATCTTTTGTTCCTAATGTGGCCTCATTTAAAGTTGAATAAGAATATTAGGACTTCTATTAATGTAGTTGAGATGATGATGCAAATTTTAAAAAACAACAGACAATTGTGTTCAAGCCTGTACATTGCTTAAAATGGTAATAGTTCTCAGACTAAAGAGTAGTCAGTAAATCTCACCAAAATCGGTCATGAGGCAATTGATTTTTTAATCTATGAATTTGTAAGTAACCACATTGCATGCAGATGTAGATATAATAGTGGTATCAGAATGATAGAGACTGAAAATAGTTTACATTAACTTTTTCCATGAGTATAGACATCTGTTTTCCTATTCCTTTAATAGGAAAATTAGTAGTTAGAGGAAACTATCCATCGAAGTATCCATCAAAGTTTTATTTTTTAGGTTTTATAAAAAGAAGTAGCAACATTTATGTATAAGATGTTGAAAATTAATTCTACACTACATGAAGTATTCCAAATAATCTTTGTAAAGAGCCAAAAATGACTGACCCAAAGTAAGAAGCTGCATATTTTATCTTAAGTAACAACCAGCATAATCTATTTTTTAAAAAGCTAATGAGTTAAGAAATAACAACCATGTGCTACATTGTTTTTGCTTGCCTATAAATAATGAATTACATGTGAGAACAAGTGATAGTTAAGTGTACTGTAAGCCAATTGCATAGTCATGGATATCAGAAACTTAATCTGTTGAAATTTAGCAAAACAGAATTAGAAATGTCAAACAGAAAAGATCTCATTAAGATAATTCTTCCAGAAATGAATCAAAAATTTTATCCCAGCTGTTCATATCATGCAGGAGTTAAGATGAGTTGGACAGAGCTAAAAAATAGAATTTATTGTTTCTCAAATATGGTAGTGGAAACACACATCGAAATTTCCAGATCACCTGTGTGCTTGTTAAAAATGCAGATTTTTGACCCTCTTCCCAGACCTATTTGGGTAGAGCTCAAGAATTCACATTTTGAACAAGCGCCTCTATCCACCAGTGATTATAAGCATGTTGGATTTCAGAACCATTACTTTAATGGTTGGCTCTTCCCCACCTAGTATTTTGGACTGATGGCAGAAATGAACCAATCACTTGTGATGTTTTTTTACCAAACATCAGAGGTTAAATGTTTTATTTACCAAATATTTATGAAATAGTGTTGGGGGAGGGGCACAAAAGAAATATGGGCTCATATATACCAATGTATTGCAATTCTTGTATGTCTAACAACTGTTCAACGTGGTGAAATTAATGTGTTATGCAATCTAATGCAGTTGTAGAAAAAGACCATTGAGGTAATCCTGGTAGCTGTGGGAACAGAAAGGACAACTCCAGAAGTTATTTCAAAGAAAAAAAAGTCAGTAGGAGTCAGTGGCAAGTTGAATGTTATTGGAAACAGAAGGAAAAAAGTGAAATATTTTGGGTTTTGAGTCTGGGTAGCAGAAAATAGAGAGGCATGAACTGGGATGGAATGGAAAACCATTCTGAAAACAATTGAGAATATGGGTATGGAGAAAAGTGAGGCTTTTATAGGTGGCTTTCTTACTACCACATTTATGAAAATGTTGACTTGCATTTTCTTACTGAGTTTATGTATGAATGGATTTAACTAGATTGAGATCTAATTAATGATTATTTTCTATTACAGCAATTGTTCAACTGTCAAGCTCTACGAAAACTAAGTATTCCTGACAATGACCTTTCAAATCTGCCAACCACTATTGCTAGTTTAGTTAATCTTAAAGAACTCGACATCAGTAAAAATGGTAAGAATCTCATCTCATCTCTAAAGATCTAGAAACTTTTTACTGAAAATGTGCTTTAATGTTTTCTCTTGGCAAATGATATAAAATAACTTTTTCTTTGATTTTATTGCAAATATAAGTTAATTTTGTGAAAAGATAAATTACAAGTCAAAGAGAGAAAACTCCTTTCACTGATGTGCCTGACTCACTTAGGCCTTATTTCCCTCTGCTTCAGATATATACTCTAAATTTTAATAAATATTTTACTACCCTTACACTGTTTATTTCTCTCATTCTTAGAGTAAAATTGTTTTTCAACATGTCTCAAATATCATCTGTACAATGAGGCCTACTTGTTCACCCTACTTGAAATTATACTCTCAATTTCCCTTACTGGCTTCCATTTTTTCCCCAAGCACTAACCATCCTCACAATATTGTATAATTTACTTAGTTTCTGTGGTTATTTTATATTTTCTCTTGACCTAGAATGTAAACTCCATTATGTGACAGGAGGAATTTTTCTCTATTTTGGTCACTGATGTATCCTAAATATCTAGACCAGCGCCTTGGAAATAATAGAGACTCAGTAGTATTTGTCATATTTCTGGCCAAACTTGTATATCTGGTGTTTTTGTTGATGCTTCTGCTGATGTTGATATTCAGGTTGAGGAGATTTACCTTTGAGTGTTTGTGGAAATGATGCTTAGCACTTCAGTATGTCCAGGCACAATGAGGATATAAAACGTGACCCCTTCCATCATTAAGCTATTAATAGTTAAACTTTGTGTGTGTGTGTCTGCGCGCGCACGCGTGCACGTGCACCTGCGTGTGCCACACGTGCACAAGTAGTGCTTTAGTTATAATATATTTGGTGCCAAGGGGACAGGCATGGACAAAACAGATCCCTGCCCTCATGAAACTTACATTCTATTGGGTGATTTAGACATTAAACAGAAATTGTAGATAATTAAATAAACAATTTTGGGGGGGAAGATACATGCAATGTGCAGGGCATGCATATGAGAGGGATGTAATTGTAATCCAGTCTTTGCAGTTACAGAAAGTTTCCCTAAGAAGTGATAACCAAGCTCAGACAGAACCAATAGAGGTTAGGTAAGATTGGCTTGACATACTAGGTAAATAAATGTCTGTTTTGTGAAAGACCACCAGAAAAATCTCTTGGTCACATGTAAATGTGACTTTCCTAAGAAACTTAGTGCCTTTTAGAGCTCCATGACAATATCCCAGTAGCCTTGTCTTTCTTCATTTGGCCAGAAACTCCCCTCCACGGAGGTCTGCATTGCTCATTCCCTTAACACCTCCAGGCCTTTGCTCAACGGTACTCTCAACAAAGCCTTCCCAGACCATCCTACTTAAAAGTGAGACACAGCTACAAGCACGTTCTATTCCTCTTTCTTGTTTCTTTTTTTTTTTTTTTCATATAAGAAACTGACACACCAGATATTTAACTTATGTATTTATATATTTTCTGGACTTCTCTTACTAGAATTAAAATTCAGCAATGCCCCAATTTTGTTGTTGTTTCGTTTGCTGCTATATCTCCATTGCCTAAACCAGTGTGCAGAGCCCATGAATGAATGGTTGTTCTGAAACATAGAACACTTGTTGAAATTTACCAGTGAGAATTTCTAGTGGTTTCTTCAATTTAAGTCTTTTGAGAGTCATTGAGAAGTTTATAGTATCATCGGGGAGATAAGACTGACACTCAAATAATCAGTGAATATCATAAAATACTATGCAATGAAGTGCTTAATTATAAGGCACACATTATAATTATAAATTCTTAGAGAATGGAAGATTATCAAGACCGCTGTTATTAGGGAAGAGTTCAAGCAAAAGATGTAGCCTGAAGATTTCCATGAAACACAGTAGCATCTGAATAAAGGAAAGCATTTCATTTGAAGGAGACAATCAGAATGAAAACAGAGGACACAGACATCTTTCTACATCACCTTGACTTGCCACTTACAGGTTTTTCAGGAAGACAATCTTAAAAGTACCAAGTGCAGATTTAGAGAGAGAATAGCAACTAGATTTAGACCCATGGAAAGATGATCTTGGATCTATTAATACATTATTCTTTTGAGAGTAGATTTACAGATGACACATTTGTATGGATTGGTTTTTCTATACTTAAATAAAAATGACTACTACTTATGTGTTTATATACATTCACACATCAAATTCTAAGTTGAAATTACAATCTCTGAGAAATATTATATGGACAAATACCATATCCCTTGGCTTCCAGGCAGGTTTAGCTGGATAGTCCAAGTAAATAAAAATCTATCTTATTTTTAAAGCGGATTAGAAAGCAATTTATCAGTGGCCACTGGTGATCAAATGGACCATCAGCCCCTCTCCCCTCCATGGAGGTTGGAGGGGGTAGGGCTGAAAATCCCAACTCTCTAATCATGCCTTAGTCTTTGTGGTGACCAGTCCCCATTCTGAAGCTACAGATGGGCCCCCAGCCACTAGTCATCTCATTAGCATGCAAATCACATTCTTTGGAATCCAGAGATTCCCAGGGTTTTAGCTGATGTGTGCCAGGAACCAGGGGCAGAGACCAAATATATATTTATTATATCATAGTGTCACAAGTTATATTCATGAAACTTCAGATATTATACTTAATGGACAATTTAAAGATTTTTAAGAGTAGCTTTAATTAAATGGAATTTTCACATTGCCTTTGGACCTGGACACCTGTGCAAACTGCCCTTCCTCTGTAAGTGTTCAGTTGCATTTTGGGAAATTAGTGCTATTACCAATTGCAGAAATTGGAGAACAAGGTTGCACAACAAGTTGTTGCTTGACATTCATGGAAAAGAAATGCCCCCTGGGTTGCTGTATTGTGAGGAAAGAAGGACAAGGGCCAGCATATGTGTTAAGTGTGGGAACATATCCTGCTCACACCTGACTTGCCCCCCACCTAATGTAGCAAAATGGGTCTCCTCTGCACAGCTATGCATTGGGCTCAGTTACAGCTTTGGTGTTTTCTATTCCATTAATCTGTTCTATCTTCCTCAGTCAGACCCTCTATGATATATGTAACTACCATAAGCCAAATAGGGTTATCAAAATTAAAGTTCATTTCCAGAATAATTTCCAGAATAAGCAAAATACCATCAGGGCAAAAAGCACTTTCCATCCTTTGTTCTTGATTATCTGTTTTCCCTTCAGTTTTGGCCTTACTGTCTTGTCAACTCTTTGATGCTTTTAAGATGTTTTAAAATATATTTTATCTACATTTTGTACTTTTTCTCAATGAGAATGTTGGTTTGAATAACCTAGCTTCACCACCATTGGAAACAGGAGGTCTTCTTCCCATTCCTTCCTGTTCAGTGGGAGAAAGTTCACTTCCCATTAAGATAAAACTCAAATAACATCTTCCTGAAATTTTCCTTTATAGTTAGTCCAAAAAGTTTCCTTTCTTTCATGTTCCATTTATAGTTTCTAACTCTGTTTTTCCACTGTTCATATCCTGTCTTTAATGTACTTGCTTATGCCTATGGCTGCCTCTCAGCTAGAAGCAAAGTCCTTGAAAGTATGAACACTGTCTTAGTTATCTTTTTGTCCTTGGTAGCACCAAATTCATGTATTTTATATAATAGACTCTCAATACATGCATTGGTTGAATTGTACTGGATTCTGCTGAAATACAATAAAAGGGTTAAAAAGAAAAAAATAATTTTATCACCAAACGTAAATATGAAATTCCTGAGAAAGATGACATTTCATGAGCATATAATTTCTAGCGGCCCTCTTGAATCAAAAAAAATTTGTTGCTAGGAAGTGAATCACAAATTACACTTCTTCAACTCAGAAGTTAGTCTGTAAACATCCTTAGAAGTCTTTGCAATTGTAATTTTGTGGCTTTGAGTTATGCTTATGATTCTCTAAATTCTGGGAATATGTGTGCAAAAAGACATACAGGAGACGGTGAGCCACTCTGCAACCCTAGTACAGTACTAAAGGCTGGATGAGTCTGATGATATATCAGCCATTGCTAGAAGTTACACAAACAGTAAAAGATTTCATCGCATCGACCTTTTCAGAAAACCATACCTAAAAGAGCTGTCACTGATTCTGTGACAAAGACCTAGACATATTACGCTGTATTACTTAGGGAGCATAATACATCCCTTGGAAATCTGTCAAGTGAAGAAAGAGCAGATAGCAGAAAATAAGTGCAGCGTCAGCACCACAATTGACAAGGTTGGAATAGCCCTGGTCGAAAAGAGGCAAGACTTGAGAGAATACAAGCATTATTGGTGTTTAAGGACAGGACTCAGAGTATTTTGAGATAGTGACTCTTTCAAGCACTCGTCAATGTAGGTAAAAATTTGCCTGAAATATGCTTGAATTAGATGAGTGACCCCTTAATGAAACTATTTCACTCCGAGGCAGCAGCTGAATCTGATCTTGGTTGTTCATGTGGCCTGCAATCTTTACTTTTCATGTCCAGTCCTTTACCTGTCATCTTGATCCACCAGTTTTTCTTCATGATTAAAAAGTACTATTTTATATTAAAGCCTTTAGATAAATGAGCTATCGTGTGCAGAAGGTATCTGCCCAATTTGAATGAATAGATTTTATCTACCTCTCTAACCAGAACTCCAACTGGCTATCTCCCTTCCATGTCACCCCAGATAATGCCAAATTGTCATTCCCAAGTGAATCAGGCTGGGATAGGTTGCTGTGACAGAAGAAACTATACTATCTTCTCTACCCACTCCTTCCTCCCCACTGCTGTACTGAGTTCTCTTCACTTTTAGAAAGACATTTCAGATGTCATTTATTCTGGGACACTTTCTTGACAGCCTATACACAAAGAGAATTAATTGCTTCTTCCTCTGTGATACCTTTTTACCTTATATATGTTTCTGTTTTAAATTTATCTCACTTTCAAATTTAATTTCTATGTATTTGACTAGATTATGAGACCCTTGGAATCAGAGATTATCTTATTCATTTCTTGATTTGGAACTACTAGCG